GGGAGAGATACATACTCTGCTGTTGCCCTTCCCACTCAGAGAAGGCACTCCTGAGATTCCTGGAGAATACACAGACTGGGACTGGCATCCAGGAAGCAGGAAGCTGGGAAGACCTCTTAGGATCGACACTTAAAGAAGAATTAAGTGAAAGAACCAAGCAGACTCCATAACAGGCTGCTCAGTCTTTTTCAGAGATCAGGCCTCAATTTCAGTTTCCTGAGGCTTAAGCAAGCAGTTTCTGGAAGGGCTGTGAACAAAAGACATAGTCCTCGCAATAACTCCCTTTCTGCATGTACTCTGACTGCTCAAGGTTCAGTCAATTGTTTACTGTCTGGGACCCCTCACCAACTTAGAGTTACGTGCATGGGTCAATGTGAACGTGCTAGGCCAGCCAGCCCCCATGGCAGCTCAAGGACAGAGCCTGGGACTTGTCCAGGCCTGCCCAAAATGATAACTGTAAACCCCAACCAGTAAATTCAAAGGTTACATACCCTCACCTAATCCTATGATGCCAAGACTTGTACCACCCTGCTTGCGGTTTTTCCCTTTAAAAACCCCTTACCCTGAGAACTTAGAGCTTGGGGGTGTAAGCCTGAAGGGTTAGGGTGCAAGCCTGGGCTTGGTCCTCATCCAACACACTGGCTAGCCAGGTGAAGGAGGACAGCTCTGACTGGTTAAAAATATAAATTAAATCTATGTTATTCTACTTAACTGAGCTGTAACTGATTGGATGCACACTTCTGGGTGTGAACTGGCTGAGAAGTGAGAAGTCTGCTTGAGTTGTGTTCTCACAATTATACAGGAATTCTTAAAGCCAACAAACAGAGCTCTTTGAATCTTGTATTTAAATAGATTGGTACCTATAGGCACACGGAAGAATAACCAAACAGTTCTTGCTGGTAAGTCACAGTAAGGTGACTGGTGTTAATAAAAACACATTATTCATTTCAAAGAAACCTGAACAGAGGACTCTGAATATTTTTTACCATAAAGAAATGATAAATGTTTATGGTAACAGACACGTTAATTACCCTCAAATGATCTTCATACACTATATACATGTATCATGTTGTGTGCCATAAACAAGAACAATTGTTTTGTGTTCATTGTATAAAAAGCTTAACATACAATTAATAAGATATTCAACCCCAAATTAAGAAAACAATTTTTTATTTTAATATTTATTTGATTTTTACGTGTGTGTGTGTGTGTGTGTGTGTGTGTGTGTGTGTGTGTGTGTGTGTATGTCTTTGTGAGGGCATGTGCATATGAGTGAAATATCCACAGAGGCCAGAAGTGGGCATTGAATCCTCTGAAGCTAGGCACAGGCAGTTGTGAGTCACCTGATGGGTCCTGGCAACTGAATTTAAGTCCCCTCCAAGACCAATACCTGCTTAACTGTTGAGTCATCTCTCTCTTTATTTTTAAGTTTGAACAGTTTATTATTATAGATGGTAGAATTTGTTTTACACTTCAACTAAAATGATAACCTTTAATAATCTGAAAATATGCCATCTTTAATACAGACATTTACAGACCATGTAACACATTGCAATTAAATATTTCTGTAATATAGAGACATATTTATTAGTATAATCTTACTTCATAATTTAGTATTAGGCAAAAATTAGAAGAACATAATAGTAAGAGAACAGAATTGGCAGATGCCAATGTTGTCAAGTTTTTAGATTTCTTTCTTTCACTGCCTCTCATTTTAAATTTCTACCCCAACTTTAAAATTCCAAATGTACATCCCATTCCAGATATATATATATATATATATATATATATACTTCTGTGAAAGCATGTGGTCATCATCATTCAGACCCTGATTGGTGTCATTTCAGTGGCATGTTCATTTACTAGGAGACAATGC